TTTCGTCTTCGCTTATTTAAATTCCGTAAAAATACTAATAAAAATCTACAAGAAATTGCAAATATACTTTTAATTCCGTAGAAAAGAATTATGTAAAGAAATGATCGCGAATATCCACTCGAGTATTTTATTTTATTGCGAATGTATAAAGAAACCCGGTGAAAACATGGATTTATCTAAAAACTTGTAGGTCTTCCGAAAGTGAATTTAAGAAATTAACACTCTAGATTTTTCCTGCTCGATATTTCAAGGAAAAAAATATTTCAACTCGTCAAGCGCACGACAACTCTAGAGTATATCTGGGGAGTGTCTGAGGGACAAGGTCATCCTGTATGCGTGATGGTGCCAGCTTTCGCAAGCAGCTATCTCCATTGTCTTAACATTATCTCAATTAGCTTTTATTTGCGCCAACAAATCTTTTAAGTGCGCTCATTTGGGACTAATTGTGATAATTCTATCGGGTTTCATGGAAATTCTAGAAAATGGACCTTTTTACAAGATTTTACAACCAAGGTTGACGTATAAAAATAATGATTTTATAATTAGTTTGCTCGTGATGTGTTTTAATTATCGTAATCTTTCATAGACTCTTTTTTTTACACTGCTGTGTTGTGTCTCAACATCAGGAAGTTTAAACAACACTGTGAGTGTCTTTCCGCTATCATCTTGGCGCAAATAAATTAATGATTATTGATCAAATTAATTCTTTCTGCATTATTGAAGGCACAAATCAGCGCTTGCGAAAACTGTAGCAGATTCTTCCTGTAGTGTTCTTTTAATTCCAACTTTGACGACGAATTAAGTCACGAAATAAAGAATCGATCTGGCGCATCATTAAATTTTCGTCAATGGTAAAAAATGTCAAGGTTATAAGTCTCAACGAGAACTGCTGAGTGCCAGTGGATTTCGTCGAAGCGCTTTATACGCACGCATATCGGCATATCAAATGACAATGAGTCGCGTGCAAGGAAAGAACTCCCGCGGAGTCGCGTTCGCCGGTAGAGAGAGAGAAAGGAATGCGAGGTTCGCCGGATGTAGAACTCGCTTTCCGGAAATCTCTCCAAGCTCGTGTAGGTCTGTGAAACACGTATAGGTGCGTTGCACCGTAGACACACTGCGTATTGTCGACGTCAGAAGAACACTTTTTTTTCTTCTTCTAACAAGAAAATCACCGGAAGTGTCCCTCAACGATTTTTGATGGACTACGAATGTGTTGTAGAGCGGCGAAAACGGGACATATCTTTTATACGTTCATTCGCACGTCCAGGATTTGGAATCACTTCTCGGAGAAAATTCGACAAAATCAACTGCAAGTGAATATTTTCCAAACCGTGAAAGGAAAATTATATATTTTACATATAGAATATGTATTTTTTATGTATACATAGGGAGAAAACAAAATGACAAATAATTTTTGTATTGATAGCCGAACATATAATTGGGTACGATTGCAGAAAAATAGTAAAAAATATCTATAAAACGGAACATATCTTTTATACGTTCATTCGCACGTCCAGGAGTTGGAATCACTCCTCGGAGAAAATTCGACAAAATCAACTGCAAGTGAATATTTTCCAAACCGTGAAAGGAAAATTATATATTTTACATATAGAATATGTATTTTTTATGTATACATAGGGAGAAAACAAAATGACAAATAATTTTTGTATTGATAGCCGAACATATAATTGGGTACGATTGCAGAAAAATAGTAAAAAATATCTATAAAACGGAACATATCTTTTATACGTTCATTCGCACGTCCAGGAGTTGGAATCACTCCTCGGAGAAAATTCGACAAAATCAACTGCAAGTGAATATTTTCCAAACCGTGAAAGGAAAATTATATATTTTACATATAGAATATGTATTTTTTATGTATACATAGGGAGAAAACAAAATGACAAATAATTTTTGTATTGATAGCCGAACATATAATTGGGTACGATTGCAGAAAAATAGTAAAAAATATCTATAAAACGGAACATATCTTTTATACGTTCATTCGCACGTCCAGGAGTTGGAATCACTCCTCGGAGAAAATTCGACAAAATCAACTGTAAGTGAATATTTTCCAAACCGTGAAAGGAAAATTATATATTTTACATATAAAATATATATTTTTTATGTATACATAGGGAGAAAACAAAATGTGTGACAAATAATTTTTGTATTGATAGCCGAACATATAATTGGATATGAATGCAGAAAAATAGTAAAAAATATCTATATTAAGTTGTAAACTTTTTACGATTTTATAATTGTTTATATTTAAAGTTTTTTTTTTAATCTTTTTCTGCACCCTAGTTCAATTTTACTTTAGATTTCATGTCACTGAGGACGCTTCGAATGGGGATTGAAACGTTGATCACTTTTGATATCTGAAAGTATATACTTGATTACACACACATATTCTGGCAACAGCGTTTGACACTTACTTGTCTAGTATTTCTTTCTTTTACAACGCGTATGTGCATAGAAACCGCAATGTAACCCAGCATTTATTATCGTCAATTTGCTGTACTAAGGTGGCCAGATTTCCCGGTCCCGGCTAGCATTCGGGAAAAGCCGAGGGATAGGCTGTAGGCAATCGGGACGTCCGATCGCTTCATGTACAGACGAAGAGCACGCATGTCGAAAAATATATGTCTGTCGCGTCGCGTCGAGCCGCTGTCGATGCGAAACGCTCAGCAGCCGCTGTTGCAACTCGCCATTTGCATAACGTGCAGAACTTAACGCGTTCACGCCGAGCGCGCTCGGCGTAGTTTTATGGAGTAAGCGGCGAGGGGACACATGCATAACACAGATCGACGGTACGCGCGAAAGTATGCACTTTCGCTCTCGTTCGTTCTCGGCAAGATACGTGAAATTTCACGCGTTCGCGTGCGCGTGCGTGCGTGCGTGCGTGCGTGCGTGCGTGCACGCGCTTTCATCCGATCGATGATCGGCAGGCCGATTCGTTAAACTTCGCCGTACGTCGCTTTAACCTTGGCATACCGTAGCCAAGTGTCGACGTGTGTATAGTGCGCACGTTCGGTGTTCTATTTGCTTCCCCTCCCTCTCACCCTCCTCTTCCTCCCTCCCCCTTCCTCCTCCTTCTACCATTCTTACATCGTGGACCCTTCTCCGGGCTCCTCGATGTACATTCCTGACTCTCACCCTCCTTCCTCCTCCGTTTCGCGCGCGGTCTCTCTCTCTCT